ACCGCAAGCACTTCCTGGGCAAGGTGAGCGCCCACGGTGGGTGCCTGGGCACGTGGTGGCCGTGGGGACAGGTTCCTATGGTCCCCATGGGCATGGGTGCCCTGCAGCACGTGCGCTTCCAGATGGGAGTGCTGAGGGAGGTGGGGTCCTGGGTGCTCCGTGGTTGCAGGTGAGGAGTGGATGCCCATGGACACAAATGCYTTCAGGTGTGGGTGCCCGTGTGCCTTCAGGTGTGGGTGGCCAAGARGAGTGGCTTTTGGGGGGCAGGTGCTCCAAGGGCATGGGATCCCGTGCCAGGGGTGCCCCATGGGAACGGCACGACCTGGTGTCCCATGGGCATGGGTGCAGGACACGTGTGCCCAGGGCTGTCAGCAGGTCCCCGCGGGGTGGGAGGGCAGCCGCCAAGGGCGCCCTGCCGCCTCGCAGGAGCACTTCAACTACTACTCGCTGGACGCCGCCCTGGGCCACCTCGTCTTCTCGCTCAAGTACGACGAGCAGGAGCACCTGCACCTGCTGCTGCGGTGAGCGGGGCGCCGTGGGTGCCGGGGGACCCGCGTCCCCGCGCCGCGCTGACGCCCGTGCCCCCGCGCAGCACCCGCTCCCGCACGCTGCACGACGTGGTGCCCATCTCCTGCCTCGCCGAGTTCCCCAACGTGGTGCAGATGGCCAAGGTGGGTGCGTGTCGCCGCCGTCRGGTGCCGTGCCCCGTGCCCGCCGCCCACCGCGCTCTCCGCCCGCAGCTGGTGTGCGAGGACGTCAACGTGGACCGCTTCTACCCCGTGCTCTACCCCAAGGTGAGYGGCGCCGGGGGAGGATGAGGAGGGAGGCGGCGGCGCCGCGGGGTGCCAAGCGGCCTCCGTCCCCAGGCCTCCCGCCTCATCGTGGCCTTCGACGAGCACGTCCTCAGCAATAACTTCAAGTTCGGCGTCATCTACCAGAAGCTGGGCCAGGTAAGGGGGCTCGGAGGGGCTGGGGGCAGCCCTGGCGGCGCCGCGGGCGCCCACGGCGCTGCCGCCCCGCAGACCTCCGAGGAGGAGCTCTTCGGCACCACGGAGGAGAGCCCGGCCTTCGTGGAGTTCCTCGACTTCCTGGGCCAGAAGGTCAAGCTGCAGGACTTCAAGGGGTGAGCGAGGGGCGTCCCCGCGCGCCCGCGCGCCCCGCGGCCCCGCGCCGCGCGCTCAGGCGCCGGGGCGGCCGCCACAGGTTCCGGGGCGGCCTGGACGTCACGCACGGGCAGACGGGCAGCGAGTCGGTCTACTGCCACTTCCGCGGCAAGGAGATCATGTTCCACGTCTCCACCAAGCTGCCCTACACCGAGGGCGACGCGCAGCAGGTGGGCGCCCGCCGCGGGCACCCGGCGCGCGCCGCGCCGCCCCGCGCTCACCCCCTGCTCCCTCCTCTTCCTCCTCCTCGCCCGGGCAGCTGCAGCGCAAGCGCCACATCGGCAACGACATCGTGGCCATCGTCTTCCAGGACGAGAACACCCCCTTCGTGCCCGACATGATCGCCTCCAACTTCCTGCACGCCTACGTGGTGGTGCAGCTGGAGCGGCGCGGGGAGCAGGGCACCCTCTACAAGGTGCGGCGTGCCCGGACGCCTGGGCCCCTGTGCCGAGCGCACCGCGGCRTCCCCTCCCCGTGATGCCGCTGTGTTGCCGCAGGTCTCCGTCACGGCGCGGGACGACGTGCCCTTCTTCGGCCCCCCGCTGCCCGACCCCGCCGTCTTCAGGAAGGTGAGTGGTGGCGCTGGCGGCGCGGCGGAGCCGCCGTGGCGGGACGGCACCCGCGCTGTCCCTCGCCACGCAGGGCCCCGAGTTCCAGGAGTTCCTGCTGGCCAAGCTCATCAACGCCGAGTACGCGTGCTACCGCGCCGACAAGTTCGCCAAGCTGGAGGTGCGCGCGGGGCGGCGGCGGGGACGCGGGGCTGGGC